CCCCCCCCCCCCCCTCGAAACGGGCTCACTTCGGTCGCCAGCAAACGCTTGGCCAGGGCCTCCATCGACTTGAGCGCGGACGTGACACCGAGCATCTTCTGGTCCATGAACGGGTCCACACCTTTGAAGAAAACAAGAAAATCCCCCCCAAAAATGATGGCGCGGGAGGAAAACACCGGTACAGCAGTGCCGGCCCGTTCGTAAGAAATATGCTCGTTATCAACCGAGGCTCACACTTGGACAAGCTTAAGACAATACCCTAACAAGTAGAGCATAGCGCCTGGTGCTACATTAATCCCAGATAGTCTATAAGCCTATTACTCAGTGGTGGGGACAAAGACAAGATAGGCTTTGAGCCTCGCTCAAATAAAAGGTGTTTCTTATGAGCGGGCTGACACTGTACGGGTAGGTGCCCCGTTTTGTTGCCATGCGTAGAATGAGACGTAAAAGAAGCAAACACCGCACGGTTTGGTCTACAACGTAGTGTCGTGCTAATTCATGTGTGACCAGAGTATTGGATTGTCACTGGATTTGCCGAGCACATCGCAAGGAAAAAGCACATAAAGCAGTAAAACATGTCTAGGCATTCATGTCTGTATTGCATATCCTGCTGAGCCTTTCACTTTGAGCTGTGCGTCTTCGAATTTTCTGTGAGCAAGGACGTTCGTTGCTCTGGCTTCCATGAGGTGAGGGAGACGAGGTAATTGATAAAAAAAGGAATAAGCCTGTCTTTGTAGACAACGAACACCAAGAAGCAGCAACAAGCACAAGGGTGGATCCAGTCAAGCGTTTCCACAAAGGAAAATACTGACAGAGCCAGGTGCATCGCCCCCAGCGGTTGAACTCTCACCCCCTCTCTTCTCCTCGCTCCCCCGATTTGAAATAACAACAGCAAACCGACGCTGCTCCTTTCGTAACGAAGCCAACGCTGGGGGACACGACCGCAACTTCGTTCGTGCCTGTCTTGAAGAACGAAAACGCCTCCACCAACCGACGGTAGGCGTAAAACTCAGAGTAGAGCCACGGCGTGTCCAGCCAGCTCATGCCCAGGAATGGCCCCATGACCTTGTTCCACTCCGCTACCTCCGGCCCCCCGTCCTCGGAGATGGGCCTCAACTGTACGTGAGCAGCAGAAGCAGTAGCGTCAGGGATGAGTTGAAAGGAGGGGGAGACAGATGGGGGCCGACTGGGATAGTCAGGACTCTGTGTGAATGAGTGAAAAATGGGGGGATAGATGGAGGCCGACTGGCATGTGCAGCGGCACTGTCATGACGAGTGAAAGGACTGGGGGACAGATGTGGGCCGCCGGACGCATTAGCCGCGCGGGCGGTGTGTGGCTATGGTGGTGTACCCCTAGATACCGTGATTTCTCCTCGTGTTAGCCTTGAGCGCTCTCTGTAAGCGTAGGCCAGCGGAGCAGTGCACCGCTCAGCAACACAATCAAGAGGACTTCGGGAGTTGTAGTTGGAGCCCAAAAAAATCTACAGTAGAGTACCTTCGAATCCCCCGCGGTCTTGAGTTCTTCGACGAGGGCATCCAAGGCTTCCTTCGCCGAAGCCATCTCTGGCTTGGTCATGTCGTTGTCGTCGTAGATGCGCATCAGGATATTCTCCCGCAGCCGCCGCGACTGTTGGATCGAGCCCACCCATCCGTAGAAGAATAAAACAACAAATGTGAGCCAGTAATGGATCAAACTGTTTTTCTCAAAGAGAAGAGGCGAGTGCGCACAGGGGAAGAAAGGGTACACACAGACACGCCGATTGGGGACACGCAGAAAGCGGCTTGCGGTACTACATGCATTCACGGTACGATACACGCATTCCGGGAACAGCCGCTGCCGCTGCTGCTGCTACGGAAGCCGTGTTTCTCGACAGTAGATCCCGCGGACAAAATTCCATTGCAGGAACCCACCGCGTGCGGTGCATGCAGGCGTGCATACACACCATTGTGTCGTAGGCCCAGCTCCCGGGGACATTGGAAACGATGATCTCCGGCAGCGGCGCTCTTGGTAGGACGAATCCTTCCTCCGTCTCACCCTCGCCTTCCTCCACTTTCCCGGCCGTCGACGGAGCTGCCATCACGCGGGCCGTCCTCTCCGCCAGACCCCTCCTGCCGTTGCGATGCCGTACCGACCGCGGTGGTTCTAGGACTCTTGGCGTTGGTGCTGCTGCTCGTGTTGCGAGGCCGTCACTCACAGCAGTAGTCCCGGTGGTGTCGGCAGCGAGAGAAGAAAATCGCGGGGGGGCAACAACGAACGCCTGGACGTTCAGGGCTGCCGCTGGGAGGAGCACGATCGCGCTACGTGATCGACCAGCAATAGCGACCGGAGGCATGCGCGCGACGGCGGCAGGAGAGGGATGAAGGTGGTGCGGGTACCGCATTGTTGAGCGGGTCGGGAATGCGCCACGATGTGTGATCATGTTACTGCGTCCTTCATGTTGTTTGCTCTCTGACGAGAGCTTGCCATGTATATGCGGGCATGAGATGAAGACACCCAAGAAGTCCTAGAAATTCGGCAGGATCTGGCAGCCAGTACAGGAAAACAAGTTATTTGGTTGTCATCGAGAAGAATGACGACGAGGCGCTGCTGCTTTGGCTACATTTGTCCCTCGCAGCGGGCACCTCCGATAATTTATTTACATACAAGTCGAACTGAACACAAGAAAGACACATCTCCCAACCTTGGAACTCCGGTCGGCAGATCATGCGAACAGGGTGCATCACGCTCGCTCATTAGAATCTGTCAGAAACGACTAGTCTCTATGGCCTACACCAGTACCGCAGCATCAGTAGGACTACATTGCAAGACACCTACAGTGGGGAATCTCTGCACTTCGTAACCTTTCTGCAAAAAGTGCAAGGGGAACCGGCGCGCTAGGGAACCGCATTTCTTGCGGCAGGGGAACCTCTACACTAGGAAACCTCCCCATCCCATGCACAAGGGGAACCTCTGCATTGGGGAACCTCACCCCTATCAACTGCAACGTTGGGAAACACCACTTGGCGGGCGCCTTCAACGCCTGCAACGTAGCCATTCGACTCAACGACTTGACCTTTCTGCTCTTTAAACAAACCGATCCGAAGAGGATGTTTACCGCAACCACAATCACGATCACGTGTCATGTTTGTGTATCATGCGGCTCTCTTTTTCTTTGTAGCCAATTTCGTTCCATCATTGCGGACTGAATTTGTCTCTTGACCAGAGTACTCACCAACCAATGCGTAACGTGTTAGGCATGACACGGCAATCAGCTTCTGATGCGACCAGGCAGCGATCAGGTGTGTTGCGCCTGGTTCTCGTGCTCGACATGCGGCGCAATCAACCCCCCGGCCAACCGGCCAACAAAACATTCACGTCGCCCCTCACCCGTGGGGCGGCGCCCGGAAATCTGCCCTCGAGGGCAGGAGGGGACCGGCCTGCCCTCAAAACGCCTCCGGAACTAGCCTT